TCGCCACTCGGCGTGGCCGGGCGATGAGCCGGGACGGCTCCCCCACCTGCACTTCGGGTCCCTCCTTCCGGCGCCGCTTCCCTCGCTCCCCGACTGCCTTCCGCACCCCTCCTCTGCTTAACCTTGGCAGGGGCTAAGGGGGAACACAGCGCTGCTTTCGCCTCCAGTTCCTCCTGCCCCTACGTCGCCGGCCGGGAGGAGTGACGCCTGTGACCACTCCTCCATCTGGTCGGGCGGAGGACAGGCCTGCTGTCCGCACAGAGCGGGCCCAGCCCCAGGTGTGGCTGACAGGCTGACGCGAAGTCAGTCACTGGCGGGGGGACCTTCAGCAAGTGCCTTAACCTCTCACTTTCTTGGTCTGCTTGGTCTTAAATTAAAGCTTAAAAAAAAAAGTGTATCCTCAATATTGAGGATATACTCCTAAGTGAAATAAATAAGTCACACGTGTAAATACCAAATAGTTTCTGTGGTGTGAAAAACTATAATAGTACATAAGATTCTAATGATATAATTGACAATGTGAAGTAGGAAGAAAAGGGCTAAAGGTGTAGGGAAAGTGGGAAGGGTAGGGGAAAGGTAATAAGGGAAAGGAAAAAAATAGGAGAAAATGAAAAAATGGAAATAAGGTGTTTGTAAATGGGGAGGGGAGGAGGGGTGAAGGGAGGCCAGGGACAAGGGGAAAAAATGAGAACCACGACCTGTCATGTAAAGGTACAAGATCCCAATGGTGAATGTAACTGTGCTGTATACCTAAAATGTACCAATAAACTCAATGAGGAAAAAAAAGTGAATTCGAGGGAGATAGAGCTTTTGTAAATGGGAAGGGGATCAAGAGATAGCGGAAAGGGAGGAGAAGAGGATGTAAAAGAATTAAGATGTGTCATGTACCTCTTCCAAAGCCCCATGATGAATATAATCATTAAGTACAACAAACATGTCCTAATAAAAATTAAAATAAAAGCAAGGCATGGTGGCGCCTGCCTGTAATCCCAGCACTCAGGAGGCTGAGGCAGGAGGATCGCTATGAGTTCGAGACCAGTCTGGGCTACATAGTGAGTTCCAGGTCAGTCTCAACTACATAGTGAGACCCTGTCTCAAAAACCCCCCCAAAAAAAATTAAAATAAAAAAGTGAATTCTTCTTGGGTCTGTTGGGAAAATTAAATGAATTAACATATGTAAAGTTTTTATAAGTATTAATCAGGCTTATAATAAGTGCTGTATAGCATTCATATATATGATTAAACCCAGGCCCTTCACACTGAGCTACATTCCCAGTTCATTTTATTTATTTATTTTATCGAGTTTATTGGTACATTTTAGGTATACGGTACAGTTACATTCATTATTGGGATCTTGTACCTTTACATGACAGATCTTGGTTCTCATTTTTCCCCCTTGTCCCTGTATTTTTAATTTTTGAGACAGGGACACTATGTTTATATTTCCCGGGCTAGACTTGAACTAGCAATCCTCTTGTCACAGCCTCCCAGAGCACTTACAGGGTGTGTGCCACGATGCCCATTTTAAGGTCTGATGTTAAATCTCAGCTGAGCACTAGACTTCAGGTGTACTTTCCCCAGCTTCCATGGTTGTCCTGCCCCATTCCTCTGGAAGGCCTGTCACAATCTGAGGCCACTAGAAACTAGGGAGGAAAGGGTGGGCACAGATCCACTCATCCTAGCCAAGTTTTTCACCCCAGGCAGCAGAGTGGCTCTCTCACTCCTGACCCCCATCTTAGCCATCTATGGTGAATGGAGGTAAGAAGAGGGATATTCTAGTCCCTCCTCATCTGGGCCACCCACCAACTTAAAAAAAAAAAGACCTGTGGATTTACAGTCTGAATGAATCCTTGCCCCAGCCATTTCGCTGCCTCTGTGGCTCTGAGTCAGACACCTTCTGAGCCTTGAGTTTTTTTTTTCACTAGTGAAATAAAATTATTTAAGGGCAGGGGGTAGCTCAGTGGAAGAGCCCTTGATCGGCATACATAAGGCCCTGGGTTCAATTTCCAGCACAGAAAAAAAAAAAGAAGAAAGAAATTCCTTTTGTTGGAGGGGCCTTAGCCCTGAGCTACATCCCCAGCAGCTGGAGAAACGATTTCACTAAATTACTAAATTGCCCAGACTGAGCTTGAATTTGCAACCTAGGGCCTCAGACTCTCAGGGAGTTGGGATTACAGGCATGTGCCACCATGTCTAGCTGATACTTCTTTCTTGAGTACATAAGTAAGTACAAGACAATGGCTGGCCCACCCCAACTATGTTTGGAAATGTTTCACATATCAGCTGAAACAATGCAGGTGAAAGTACGTCATGAAGTTCCAGACAATTCCACACATTTTGCAACCCTGGAATTCCAGATTTCCTTGTGCCTGTTTTCCTACTCCTCTTAGTCCAGGAAGCTAGGGATTTTTGCCTGCTTGGTCTTCAGCAGGGACTCCACTACCTGTGTACTAGTATAGTACCTGGCATATAGTAGGTAGTCAATAAATGAGTTGAATTAATGAATGAATGAATTTGGCCTCTCCAAGAAGGAATCCTCTTTGTGGCCTTCCTGACATCTGGCCTGTCAGGCCTGCCATAAACCAACAGGAAAAAGCAAACAGGCTGCTTTCAGCAAACAACAGCAGCTTCCCAGTAAATAGGGAAGATGGACTCAAAATGTGATTTACAGCCCCTGGCACCAAGAAGTCCAGTAACTGTATATCCACCTAAGAAGACTGTCCTTGGGTATCCAAGTCATGAAAATTCCTTATGATTATAGCTCCTTCCCCCAAAATCTATATAATATAGTCTTCCTGCTAGCTGCTCTCTCTCTCTCCCTCCCAGTGTTAGCCCATCCACTGATGGTTGGAAATCTTTCCTCGCTAGCTGCTAGAATCTCCTGATTTTAGTCCCTGATTCTAGTCCCTGTTCACTGGAATAAACTTCTCATTTTCTTCCAACAAAGAGCCTGTTTTTTCGACAAGTGGATTCTTTATAACATGGCCTCTGTGTGACGATTTTACCAAAGTGCAGCCTCTCTTGCACACTGTATTTACTCTAGTTGTATGCTTTTTTTTTTTTTTTTGGTACCAGAAATTGAACTCAGGACCTTGCGCTAGCCAGGCAGGCACAATACCACTAAGCTACATCCCTGGCCCTTGGACACTCTAGTTACTCAAACATTATTGGTCCAGGAAAACATCATTGGTCCTTCTACTGGGCTGAATTTGACTTCCTTCTAAATGTCTAGAATTGGCTTTGCCCCCTAGAGTTACACAGAACCCCTTCTGCCTTAGATTTCATGTGTGAAGTGTTATAGGGCCAGGAGAGTTGGAACTATATATAGATGCACCACACTCTGAATTAAATGGGGCCTTTTATTATCATAGCTAGCATTTTAATTTTTTTTTTTTTACATCTTTGGCTTTATTGCTTCTTTTTTTTCCCCCCGTTAATTGGTACATTTAAGGTAAACAATACAGTTACATTCATCATTGGCATAGCTGACATTTTAGAGGGGCTCACACCAGAAAAACTCTGGACAAAGGAAGGGCAGTTTGCAGGGTCCTTTTAAGGGCTCTTTTATTTGGGGAATTCTCAGGGAGAGGGGGAGCACAAGCAGAATTTCACAGGAGCAGAAGTTTGCTAAACTAGTGGGGGTCCGGGAAGTTTTACACAGTTTAATTAAGACAAAATATCACACAGGTGTGGAGTTTTTTGTTTATAAGGTAATAAAGATAACATAGTTGCAGAGTCACACAGGTGCAGAGCATTTGTTTACAAGGCAGTAAAGATAACAGATTTACACAGGATGCGGCAGTCTGTCACCCATTAACTGAGGGGACTCCCAAGGGAGAAGGGGAAGGCGACCACCTGGAATGATTTGACTTTATACAGAGTCAATTGGCTATCACAGAAAGATGACGTGTGTTGCACCTAGCTTGT